AGACACCTGCAGGGCCACCTCCCAGCTGAGACACCTGCAGGGCCATCCCAGCTGAGACACTGAGGCCATCTCAGCTGAGACACCTGCAGGGCCATGTCCCAGCTTAGACACTGAGGACATCCCAGCTGAGACACCTTCAGGATTATCACAGCCTGGCCACAGCTCCCTGGGCCACTGTGGTGGGAGAGGATGAGCCATGAAGTGGTGCTCACCTGAACCTTCTCATAGGGGACATCATCGTACACCACCCGAGAGGAGTCCGCTCGGTGATCCTGAGAGGAGCTGGCCCACCTGCAGAAGGAGGGGTGGGGTCTTCCTTTCCAGAACATCATTGCCAGCCCCTCAGGGAACCCTCACAGATGAGAGATTCCTGCATCTCATGACCCTACCCTACCACCCCCTCCATCAGCACTGATTAAACCCTTTCAAGTTCCCATCCTGCCCTTAGGGAACAACCCCTGGGCACTGACCGTCCCTGAGATCACAGCCAGGAACCACAGCCCAGCCTGTGCCATTCTAGGGACTCCACAGGGCCAAGGATCACCATGCCCAGCCCAGCCCCTGGCACAGCAGGAGCACGGCCTTACAGGTAGGAGTGTCTCACGGCCGTCACGATGTTGGCAATGGTCTCCACATCCACGTAGTCGTAGTGCAAGGCCTCTGGGGCTGTCTGGGAGCCCGTTTCCACCAAGAGGAGACCCAGCCAGCGGCCCAGGTCTTCAGAGCAGCTCGCCTGGAGGACAGAGGAAGAGCTGGGGTGCATGCCCAGCTCCCAGCCCCTCATCCTTGCTGCCTCCTCACACAAATCCCCGCCGTGCACAATCCCGCTCTGTGCACCAAATTCCCGTGCAGCTGCCACAGCTCACCCAAAAGGTACCCTGACCTTTCCAGGGAAGGCCAAAACAAGGCTCTGCTTGCATGGGATGTTGTGACAACCCCCGTGCCACCCTGCTCACCTCCAGCGCCGTCACCTCGTGCCCGTGGCGCAGGATGCGGAAGGCGAAGGGGTGCTTGGGGCCCAGCCCGGGCAGCACCTCGCAGCCCCGCAGGACGATGGCGTTGACATGCGTGCGCAGGTCCGTGCGGTCCTTGTGGAAGTACAGGGTGTTGCCCTTGAGGCGACACCAGCGCTCCTTCCAGCACTGGTTCACCAGCACGCTGAGGTAGCCTGGGGGCGGCAGGGGAGGGAAGGGCATCAGCGCCTGCTCGCCTGTGCCTCGGCAGGTGTTGCCCTGATTTTCAAAAGTGGTTTCTTTTATAGTTCTTTTTAAAGTTCTAAGGTTCTCGTAAAACTTCTTCAACCTTCTGATCTATTTACATATTTCTACTAGAGTTCTCACACACTGCTCATGTAAATAATAATTGTTTTACATTCTTCTTTATAAAAAGAGAGAATTGATAGACTGTTAGTTTGACCAGTGTAGTTAGAGAAGTAGTATCCTCCAATCCACAGTCACCTCTAGAATGCCATAAATATCAGATGCTCGAATAAAACGCTCTTTTTTTTTAACCTTTAAACTTACCAAGCATTTGTGTACTTACTTCGTGTCCAATAACAACAGGCAGGTTTTGACAAGACCGAGCTTACAGCACAGCTTCCTGCTCATCCAGCCCTTCTGTGCCTCAGTTTCCCCCCAGACAACCAGCTGGCCCCAGAGGAGCTGCAAGCTCGGTATCACAAAGTCCCCCCAAGCCTGTTTTTAGGGAGATGGGTGACCCCTTGCCTACTCATCACTGGAATTTGCAGAGCCAGGCCTGGGCAGCATTTCCCAGCCTGTGGCAGTGTCACAGCCCCCCTAGCGAGCTTGTCCCCACTGCCCACTGCTCCCACTCCACTCCCAGCCCCATCATTGCCCCCAGCCCACACAAACCGCAGCAGGGGATGTCCTCCTCGGTGGAGGAGGTCTGGGTGTCCTCGGGGCACGGCTTCTTCTTGGAGAAGCTGATGATCCTGGTGATTTTCTTCCCCGCTGCCCGGCTCATCGAGCCCTTCAGGTCAGCCAGGCCGCTCTTTTTGCCTTTCCCTGCAAGGACAGGGCAGCTGTGTGACCCTGGTGCGTGTCCTGGCATCCCAGCTGGCTGCAGAGGATGCTGCCCAGCCGGGGGCACGCAGCTGGCCTGGCTGGGTGGGCACTGGGGACAGGACTGTACCGTGCTCGCCGTGCTCCCTGCGGGCGGCTGGGGACCCGCTGTCACCCATGGCCACGCTGTCCGAGTCCGAGGTGTGCTTCTCCTGGGACAGCCGCTGTGGGAGAGCAGAACCCCATCAGCAGCACCCCCAGCCCTTCATCCCCCTGCACAGGGCTGGCATTTCCAGCTCTGCTTCCCCTTCCCAGCCCTACAGAGCTGCTGTGACAATGGGAAGGGCTCTTGTGCAGCCCCAGCAATTTGGGGCCCTCCAGCCCTGTGTTCCCCAGGTTTGTCCACAGCAGACCCACACAGCCCCTGGACAGGGCCCTTAGAAATGATCACCTTGTCCAGCTCCATCTTGCACGGCATCACTGGGGAGGTGGGGGCTTCCATCCCGCCTGCTGCTGGGCTGCTGGCTTCCTTTATCACCTGCACAGACAGCCCCAGCTGCCACTTCAGAATGACCCGAGGGCCAGGGCTGCCCTCCCTGGCTCAGCTCCTTCATACCAGGGCCAGGCTGAACCAGGGGGACAGCTCAGGGCAGCAAACCCAGCTCGGGACTGCTCACACCTTGGCCCCTTCAAAACTTCAACCACTTTTGTGGATTTTATCAGGGATTTTGGAAATCTTACAAGGGAGAGACTTAGGTGCCAAGCCAGCATCACCCTGCCAGCACAGGACACCTCATGACCCCCCTGTTTTAAGGCGTGGCGTGTCCTGGGTGTGTAAAACCACCCCGTTCTCCCACATTTGGGGTGACAGCTGTGTTGCTGATGTGCTCAGACGCTCCTTTCCCACCCGCCACCCCTCCCCACAACCCCCGCTTCCCGGCCCCGAACAAAGGCAGGAAAAGGCCCTGGGGAAGAGGAAGGGGAGAGCAAACATCCCCCAGGCCGGGCTATCAGCACCGAGCTGCCCAGGCCCTGGGAAACGGCCGATAAGAGCCAGCAGCAAAGCCCCCTTCCCCTTCCAGCGGGGCAAGGCCATTCCCAGGGCAGCCCCCTCCCCAGCTTGGATGCCAAGGGGGTCTGTGGATGCCCCTGGCAGGAGCAGGGGTACCTTGAGCCACTCCTCAGCCTGCTCCTTGCTCTGCACCGCCAGCACCAGCGCCTCGGCCCCCGGCAGCGAGAACCGCAGCTCGTGCTTCTTGCGCCGCCCGTCCTTGGGGACGTAAATGACGTTGCAGGTGGCCAGGGGCACCTCCACGTGTGGCTGCCGGTCCTTGGAGCTTTTGTAGCACTGAGGAAAGCGAAGAGAACTGCTCAGGGCTCAGCCAAACCTGCCTGGCTGGCTGCTGTGCTGTGCTGTGCTGGGGGGTCCCACAGGTGGCACGGAGTCTCAGAGTCCCTCGCTGGTGGCACAGATGGAGGTGGCTCAGGCTGTGCAACAGCCCGAGGGTGCCCTCTCACTCTGTGGTGTCCCAAAAATAGGGCAGCCCTCTGTTCCCTTGCAAGGTAAGCGAGGGCAGCTGCTGCTTGGGTGGCAGCCTTGGGGCAGGGGCTTTGTTCGGATAGTGCTTTTGTTCCTTCAGCTTGGGCTCAACCACCCCTCCGACCCTCTGTGCCCCCAGGCCAGGCTCACCAGCAGTTTGCCATCCCGGATGATGGTGAGCTGCTTGGCCCACTGTCCGAAGCGCTTCTTGCGCAAGAGGAAGGCGCAGATCCGGCAATCCTTCACCAGGTTCATGGAGGCCTCCTCCGAGGGCCACTGGTGTGTCAGCTGCTGGCCCTTGCCCTCCTCCTCCTCCTCGTCGTAGGACTCGTAAGAGCTGCTCATGGCATCCGAGTCATTGTCTGCAAGGAAGCGGGGGAGTCACCCTAAAAGGTGCCACACACCATGCCAGGGTTCCCCATGCCCAGCAGCCTCCAGACAGAGCTGGGCTGGGCACTGGGATAGGTGGATTCCGTGGCATCCTCTGGAAACAGCAGCGTTTGGCAGCAGCCACCTCCACCTCCCTTGGAATCCCAGCAGCGAGCCCCAGGTGCATCCATCCAGAGCCCTGGGCCGGTTTATTCCTTTGCAAGGATCACACTTGGAAATCCTGGTTCTCCAGCCTCAACCCCAGCAGCCCCCAGCCCATCGCTCAAGCCCCACCTCAGGCTGAAGCGTGCCAAAGCTCTGTCCCCTCCCTGTCGAGGACACCCAGATACCTACAGGAACTTTTCTGCTCCCCATTTATCCTGGTGACGGGGTAGCTGCTGTCTGCATCCTCGTAGTAGCCGTCCTCGATGGAGTTGGGGGGGCTGGAGCTGTCTGCAGGGGAAGCAGAGCGGGCTGGGGTTGGTACACCTGCTTTTCCCTCACGGATGCTCAGCAGGGCACACCCTCCAGGGCATCCCAGCATTGGTCCTCCCATGGCTCTGATGTCTCATTCCCAGTTTGGCTGGAGCAAACAGCTCCTTGCAATACCAAGGAGTGGGACAGGAGCGCTGCTGGTGGGAGCAGTGCCAATTCCTTCCCCAGGATGAGCCACTGAGAGCTGCTGGTTTGTCAGGCAGTGAGGGACGCAGGGGGCAGCTCGTGGGGCTCCCCCCACCCTCCTGCTGGCCTGGGTGGAGCAGGACTCACTGCGGGAGGTGATGTACTCGGGGGCCTTGCCAGGGCCCAGGGGCAGCGCTTCCTCGTAGTAATCCTCAGGAGGGGGAGTGGTGGGCAGAGGAGGAGCAGGATCCGCAGGAACCTAGAGCAGAAACACCTCCAGCATGGGACAGGCAGCAGCAGGAGCCCCAGCAGGGCACAGGAAGGGTCCCACCCTGGCCACTGTCACCTCCCCACGCAGACCTGGCTCGGGGACAGCCGGGCACTTACAGGTTTGGCTGTCTGGCTCCCCGCCAGCTCCGAGCCAACGGCGTCGCTGGTGTCCCCCTCCTCCTCCTGCATGTCCTGCAGGTCCCGCAGGTCACAGTCTGCACGGGGTAAGCAGAGGGTGAGGGGAGCAGGGAAGCAGAGCTGGACATCCCAGCTGTGCCCTGCAGGGTAAGCAGAGGGTGAGGGGAGCAGGAAAGCAGAGCTGGACATCCCAGCTGTGCCCTGCAGGGTAAGCAGAGGGTGAGGGGAGCAGGAAAAGCAGAGCTGGACATCCCAGCTGTGCCCTGCAGGGATTTCCCTCCATGGCCCTTCCCTGGGAAGGTGCTGGGAGATGGGAATCGCTGCTGAACACAGCTCCAAGGGAGCAGGAACAAGCAGCCAGAGCGATGATGGACACGAGGACGTCACTGTCACCCTTCTTCCAAAGCACCCCAGGAGCAGCACGCACACAGCGTGTCCCCCAGGGCACCCCCCCAGCTCAGCCACACCTACCAAACTCCTCAAAGAGGGACTCCACGAAGCTGGTGCCATTGCCCAGGGACGCTGTGTTGACGTACATGTAGTCCACGTCCTTCCCTGGAATTGAGGGGGATGCTCTGAGCCTGGGGCAGGCACTGGCACCCCTCGTCCCCACAATCCTGGGGACACAGAGCAGGCACTGGGGATGGAGGGACCCCCGGGGATGCTGCAGCTCCCCCAGGAGAGCAGGAATGGGAGCTCTGGGAAGGCCCAGGTGCACAGTGCTGGCCTTCCTGTGGAAACCCCTGCGCTCAGCACAAACCCAGGCAGGAAGAGCTCTGGAAGCAGCGTTTCCGCAGGGAGAGCCCTCCTGGATCCGGGACACGGCTGACGCCAGCCCTGCTCCCCGCCAGGGAGGAGCTCAGAAGGCAAAGCAGGGAGCAAAGTGCCCTGAGGGGGCTGAGCAGGGGCTGGGCTCATCCCTGCCCTGCTGGGGACACCCACTGCCTTTGGGAACAGCCCCCGGCCACCACAGACCTGCAGGCGGCTGCAGCTTCTGCAGGATGGTGGAGACGGCCAGCTTCTTCTCCTGCGTGGTGGCACTCAGGTACTCGTGGTCCAGCAGCTTGAGCAGAACGCTGAGCTCTGGCAGGAGCTGGTCCAGCACTGAGGGGAGCAGGAAAAATCCCGTCAGCCAGGGGGTGCTCGGGGTAAGGCAAGGCAAAATGGGCTGGAACTCCAGCTAACCTGGAGCTCTGGATGGGGCAGAAAGAAAGAGCTGCAGTTCCTGCCAGCGCAGGATCCCTCCTCCTGCAGCCACCACGCATCCTCACAGCACAGCTGGGGGGACACACAGCTGGCTGTGGCTCTCCAGGGACACAAACAGAGGCCAAGGGTGACCACAGAGGCAGCTCGGATGTGCTGACTACTGGGGATGGCTCCAGGGGGGGGACAGCGTGTGCCCCAGAGCGTGGGGACACCCTGGCTGGGCTGTGGCTGTCCCCACGCTGCTCCTTGGCAGAGCAAAGCCGGGCAGCAGCAAGGGGCTGGCACAGGGCATTTCCCAGGGGAAGGGAAGGATTCTGAGATCTGATGGGATCCTCCTTCCTCACGTAAGGAACGTGGAGCCAAAAGCAGCACAGTAACAGCAAGTGGTGTTTAAAGGGTGAAGGAGGAGGGATGATGATGTGGAGGGGATGATGTGGAGCAGTGCCAGCCAAGACGAGCCCCTGGGCACAGAGACAACGTGCCAGCCCGAATGGCCACTGTCCCAGGAGACAGGGCAGGATGTGGCTCACGAGGCTCTTCCTGCCTCCCTGCACTCTACCTCCACAGTCCTCCTGCTTCCTCCTCCCTCGCCAGGGCCAAGCTGAAGAGCAGCCTCAGCCCTGCTGGCCACAGCACCGTGGGCAGCCCCAGGCAGCAGGAGAAGCCTCAGCACCGCTCCAGGAGGAGCAGACAAGCACCCCTCAGGCCTTGGGGGAAGGAGAAGGCAACCACAGGGAATGGGATTCCTGCTCCTTGAGCTGGAACGACATCCCACAGCCCACAGGCAGCCAGGGGACAGGTCCTGAAGGGCCCCTCTGCAGAGGCAGGGAGGGAGGGAAGAGAGGAAAACCCTCCCTGGGATGCTGCAGAATGCTGCACAGGCCAGACAGGATCAGGCTCCTGCTGGTGATCTCCAGGAAGGTGAGACATCCTCCCTGCATGGCTTGGCAGGGCAG